TGAAATCCCTGAGCCCTCGTTTGAACTCACTGACGTTAATTTTTCACACCTGAAACTTATGTGTTTGGTCGATAATTGTCATGTATGTCGGACGTTAGAATGTTATACTATTTATTATGAGTAAGTCATTTTTCAGGTGTAATATAAATTTTGGTAGTTGACATATGTTCGCTAATTTCAGTGGCATACTACAATGTGCTAACTTGATTTCCAGTAATCGCCTTTTCAATATCATGCGTACTGATTGTGGACCTCACGAACAATTTCAATAAATTAGGAGTTTCGGGTCTTTCGATGTCTCTAATTGTGGCTACGAATTACGGTATTGTTTATGTTGACACAATTGCTTCTGTGCTAGTATGGTATTGCAACCTGAACTGATGTACGTACGCACGAAGTTCAACGACGTAGCATTCTGAAACCCGGATATTATTGAAGAAAATCGAATACAAAGAATCCTTTATTACAAAAAGCATATTACAATTCCTTCACGGTAAGATCTACAAAGCAAGATTAGTCAAAGATAACGTGTAATTACTTGGAGGGAGTGAACGCTTGATTTTTCCAACCTTTTCTTTCTCCACGACTACAAGGGTATATAGAAATCGACTGCATCTGATTTTAAATTTGACATTGTCTTTGTTTTCCTTGATCTTAACAGCTAAAAACAATTCAATATATTTTCAGAAAAACTCACACTTGGCGTCCGCTCTTTGAGTCATGTGGAGGAATTCCTTTATGTTGTCGACTTGTCGAGGCATGGCAAGCTAAAATTAGTCAAAAGAACAATGTTTTTACATGAGGTGATTATTGCTCCAAGAGGTTTTTCTGCCCATAACACAAAGTCTGCAAGAATCCAGTGGCGTTCAAAGCGCGTTCCAGCACAAGGTTCATTGGGAGTGTTAGGTATGTCACGACCACAGAACACATCAATATGGTCCACGATTGTATCCAACTTGGTTCGTGGTATTGGTGGATTACGGATAGCCAACAATGCCATGAATAAATCGCGAAACTTATTACACATGTGGTTTAATATATGATTCATGGCACTTCTCCAGTCAAATAATAAGCCATTTACGTAGTTGCACAGAACAGACTTCCCGGATCCAGGACATCCGATCGCCTCAATCCAGGAAATGCACCATTCTAGTCGGATGTCCTCATCTACTGAACAACCGTCTCTCAGTCCTAGAATGAACTGTAACACAAGTTCTCCAACAGACTTGCAATGCAGCAGCATGTTAAGAAGAGGCTTCAGCTTAACAGCCTGCTCTTTAACAATGTCACTGAGGGGACTTCCATCAATGTACAAGGCACAGCCATGACTACAAATACAATTCGTCATCAAAAAGAAGCAAGAGGGTGGTAAATGGCTATCTAACGCTTCTTTTACATCTAGTTCGGGTATTTGTTCTTCCTTTAGTAAACTATCGACATACTTAGCCACAGCCAAACTCCGACACTTTAACAAACCATTTAATTCAACTATACGTTCTTCATTATAGTTTACATTAGATATCCAAAATTCATTCAGATATTTCAGTGACCACCAGAAGCCACTTTCTAGTATGTCCGATGATGGTATTATTCCGTGTGCTATGTCGTTGCGTAGATCTGCCAGCCAGCTTGGTAAGCCTGCAATACGAGCGAGCGACGAAATAGGAAGTGCAAAATTAGGTCTTTCTCGGTCCTGAGACTCACTGGATAACAACGACACAAACCTCATGAGTGCCAGTGCCATACTTTGGCTTGAATGTTCAAGGTAGGCATTTAGAAGCTCATAAGTACAGACTATGGACCGAGGTGTTTTCGATGCAGGCATACGACACAGCCACAATTGTATGGTCTCCCGAGCTAAACGAAGTTTACAGGTTTCGCATGAAGATACACATCTAGCAACATCACTGAATTCGCCAGCATCAACCCAAGGAACTATTCGCTTATCGTCATTCATAGCATAACACACTAAACTCGAGTTAAGACAAAAACCCAAGACCGCCAGAAATAAGAGACAACTCACGCCGCGTGCAATGAAACCTTCGTACTGACCTTGAAATGTCAAACCTCTTAACACCCAACAAACAAACCATTAAATTACCGTTACAATTTCCCGATTCACTGTGATAAAGGACAGATCTAAAAATTTGTTAAATTAAAACCCAAACTACCTTTGGTCATGACAGCATCTACACAAATTCACCCCCTTACAAAGTAAACAGTATTCACTTTCGAACGGTTTAAGTCCGCTGATCTTTCCAGATTAAAACCTGACTAAATGATAATCATTCAGCGAATGAATGCAATAATCTCTACGAAATTTTAACATATATCCTGAAAACACTGTAGCAGAGCTAACATGGATACTTCAAACTTTTATTGTTAGGATCTCATTGACTTTCGTCTGAGTCTGGGCATAAAGATGTCATTCTTCATGCTTGAAATTTATAGTATCGATTGTGCCCCTTCCTACTGGTAAAGGTGAAAGTGATCGTGAAGCGAAACTCAAGTTTATCGGGAATAGTTCCTACGGACTGAAATCTACACTTTTCCGGAAACTCTAAGTTGCGTTTATAGTCTCCAAGGAGTTTCAGAAAGGTCTGAGTTGGCTTTTTGTGAGGCCATTCCTGTTCTGTTCTGAAAGGAAATCTACCTAGATGTAATTTAGTACAATAATGAATTAAAGATGAATTAAAGAGAGTAGGCTTGCCAAACAAATGTCAATGGGAAGAGATACCAAGAACATCACAAAAATTAGTGTTCTCGTTCTAACTTTCGATAAAGAGCGTGACATTAGTTTCACCCATCAATACGTAGTAGAAAGAGTATCATTACTTTTCCTCACCAGCTTTTTGTATTTGCTAATATTGAGATCGAGGAGGTTCCGTTTGGTCTACTGAAGCAGAAAATTCAAAGGCGGCTATTTAAAAGGATAGCCACTGCACCTAGAATTCAGTTCATCATGCCCCAGCTTGAAGGTGTTCTGCTCAAGGTTTGTTTTGTGGTAAACTTTGTCAAGTATACGAAAATTAAATGTCACAAAAGTATCTCAAATCTTCTTATGATTCGTAAGAAAGAGACATGGTGCTCCATTCAATCCATAAATAGGGGAATATTGTATGCCTCCTCACCATCCATTAGCTGCCTTCAAAATATCCCTCCTCTCAAAAGCAAGCAGAATCGATCATAATTTGAGACAGTGAAATCAAGCACGTCTTAAAAATAGCAACATGATGGTCTCAAGGTAGGCACCACGATGCGTAAGTCTTTTATCATTCGATCTGTGACAGAAAACATGGAAATGAAGGACTCGATCGATACGTCAGCTGTAGATGACAATTACGATGGCCAAGCACCACAAGAAGGATCAACGAGTTATTCCTTCAGTTGATGTTCAGGGTTTATAAAGTTTTTATCCATAACACACTTCTACATGGGAATAGTAAACCAAGTAGAACCTGAAATCAGGAATGAGGGGATGCAAGTAATAAGCTCAGAACCAATGTGTGTAACTTCGCTAACCACTCATCTAATGGCTTGCTTCGTCCAATAGCACCGGATTGTCATCTTATACTTTGAAGGGCTATATTTTACACAGTAACAAAAGAATAGTACAGTGAAAAGTTTGACGCGTCGTACAAGAACGATCGTCCTGAAAAAAAGGAATGTGAATATAAGTGTATTTTGAAGTACACTCATAATTACGTGAATGAACAAAATATGTGAAAAAGGTGAAATCTATGCGTAAATATACCGTCTGACAGCAAGAACAATAACACACAATAATAAGGCTTTTCCGATATTTTTGGATGAGAATCTATACACATATGTACGAGCATACAAAAAGTACTCTGACTTTTTGAAAGAAATATATCATCACAATATGACAATGCTAACTTATAAATGGGAGAGTGTTAAATGGTATAACGCCATTTTACTCAATACCTAAAACATTATATTATACTGGATTTGGTAATCTTTGGTAATTTTGAAAAACTCCACTTTGCCAAAGACTACCATTTGAATGATTACCCACAAATGCGATTATATAGCTTTAAAATATAATATCATACCTTTTAATAATAATAATAATAATATATTTATCCTCAAGTAACTACGTTACAAGAGTCACGCCAGTTTACAGGCTAGATCTAATTGTCACAAATGCTTTCACAATTACTGTAAAGTTATAGCAGTTAGATTAAGTATGAGAGTCAGTTTCTGATTGCATATTTACACCATGTCACTGACAGAAACAGTATAATACAGACACATTTTCAATAGTAGAGTACAAATAAGAAAGGTGCACAATAGGTTCTTTCGGCGATTTGCCGATATCAATAGTGAATTTGTTGGGAAAGGTCACATGGAACGCGCTTGATACGAGCTGTGATCCAAACAGTCATGTACATAGGGTGCATGTTCCCTAGAGTCGCCTGTAGAATTCTTTTTGAATGTTTTGTGTTTTTGGAAAATCCCTCCATGTTTACATATTTTTGCTATGATCTGATGGACTTTTTCTCTTGACATTTTTGGTATTTTAATTGATTCCAATTTGAGATTTTATCATTGTATATTGTTGTTCTTTCTATATTTGTACTTATATTGAAGTTTTTGGGTTTGCTTCTGAATTGTACATATATTGTTTAAATTTGATATAATATGGCTACCGCCACATTTTTGGATGGACGCGGTGGACTTAGTGTCACTTACTAGTTATTGTATTGGATACTCTGCGGAGTAACTTAACCCTGGAAGAAACACAAATACCGTAAGACTCTGTATTTCCATTTTATAATAATAAAGAGACGTTTTCTCCTAGAATTTTGCCCTTTTGATTTGGTCGGGACCCGGACCTAGGAGGAACGTACAGGAGTGTTTCTATTGGAAACAATTAGGACAGCCACTGTCGAAATAAATCTACATCGCCAAGGATTTCCGCCCGTGAATGGGGTTCTGAAAAGGAGAAGAGAGAAAGAGAAAAAGGCAGCAGTGTGGCAAGTGTATATATATAACCAAAGCACTAATTAACCTGTCATGTTGAAGTAGTAAATACAGTAGTAAGTCAAGATAATTCATACTGACCACTTAAGTCAAAGTAAATTATGGGAATATAAGAATATAACCCACAGATAAAGGAGTACAGCAAAAAAGAAGGAAGAGTTGTGCAGTGTCAGGTGGATAGAAGAGAAGTCGAAGTAAGAAGCTGGATTTATGTACGTTGAAATCGAAAGAGTAGAGTTTGTAAAAAGAGAACATTGATGAATAAAATTTCGCACTGTCTAACTGGTTTTTTATTTATAGCGACCTCAGAATAGATTTGAAAACATGAACCACAGAAGTAACAAGCGTAAAAGTGCAACCTCAGTGTTTCTGATTAGTCGTCTCATCAATCTACAGAGCCGAAAGCAAACAAATGTTCCTTTCGTCCGTGTAAGCCTGCTAATGTAGGGGTTCACATCTACATCAATTGAATATAAAGGGGCCGCAAATTCTCACTAAAGTCGGACTGTCATGCGAGTTCGGTTGCACGTACGAAATGGTGAACGTAAGGTCACTTAATCATGAAGATATGACTTAATCACGCAAGCGTGGTAACACTTTATAACCTATTGCCTTCTGTATCAAGTGAATTGACCTCTTCGAAGCCAAATGTATTCTTCTACAGGTCCAAAGGATCATACTGCTGACTTTCTCTATACGACTAGTCAGTATGGGAAATGGTGTGACTTCTAAGTAAATTTTTAGATAAGATAGTTATATCATGATAAGTCTGCAATTTTGGAATAAGTCTATTATTCTGAGGGCATAAATATGTACTTTAGTACCAGTTTATATCTGAATCCTATCGTGCTCCCGGCCATCGTGTGAAACAAGAGTCGCACGTTAAGAGACAAAAGTATCCATTTGATTTTAGTAAGCGTCCTATCAAATAAACGTGTTCGAAACAGAAATCAGGACTTAATAAATAATAATAATTAATTCTCAAATAACAAAAGGTTACAAGAGGGATGACAGTTTACAGGCAAGGTCAAAATGTCAAAATTGCGCACACATATTCTGTAAAAGGTTGTTCAGCTACTCAAATATTTCATAAGTTACTTTGGCCTCATATAGAATGCCAAAATCCTACACATAAAACTATAGATAATGGTTCAGACTCTGCAATATACAATACGATCGTTGGCGCGAGTCACGACGGTCACGTTCTGACGAACCACTAACGGCTGAGAAACAGCGCAAGATAAATCCAAATCTGCGTATAACAAGAAATTATGAGGTAAATTCGAAACCATCTTGTTGATGTTCGTCAGATAATACACTTACAGGCTTCTGGGTATAGTAATCAAGTCTTTTGCAAATGTCCAGACCAATATTTAAGGATTAGAGTAAGGTGCTGATAAAGAGAAATAAAGAGAAGGGGGCGAGGAGCAGAGCAGAAAATATTCTTGGATGAAACAAAGTTGTGATTACTCAGACCTTTTTATGTTAGAATACTAACTATACACCTGCACTTTTGTAAATTAATGAAGAGAAGCCACTCAGAAGATAACGAACGAGTAATTAATTATATGAATAACGGAAATTCAGATGAACTAAATTGTTAGAAACAATGTTTATTTACAGAACATAATAATGAATCAGAGTGATCTGATGCTTTAGTGATATTCTATTTATTTATTTCTTTTTAACGCTCAACAAAGTGCCCTTTCACCCCAGACTTCTGTCAGCTTACAAAGAGACATGCCAACTCTCCTATGCTTTTGTTAATGA